TGAAAACCATCTCATCTGAACCGACTAAACATTTAAATCCCTAAAATGATCCTTTTAAAGAAGCATTGTTTAGTTTAGGTATTTGAACAGGCCTCATAGCAGGAATGCAGGTAAGATGTCTGAATTTTAAAATAATTTTGCAAGAAATATTCAGACAGAATATAGTCAACATTTACTGAGTGACTCTAAGGTGGCCATAAAAACTCGGAGGTTCTTCAAGAAACATACATGGGACTCCTGCCTAAGAAAAATTTCAGGTGGTTCCCCTTGTGCTGTTTTCTAAATCTCACTGCCAATTCAGAGTACAAAGAAAAAAATAACTTTGGTCTTTGAAATTAGTTTTTATCTTTAGAAACCAGGTTGTCCAATTAAAATAGTTAACAATATATTTCATTTGAAACAGAATATCAGAAGTCCACCTCATCCCTGCCAGCGTTTGCTAACAGCAATGAGGAACACCTGCTCATGCTAACCAGCAGCTGTGGAGTGAAGCAGTTGTAGGGGGGACTCCAGGAGTATCCTCCCCTGGAAGATTTTGTAAACTGTCCACTCAAAGTTATACATACAGTGAAAAAAATATATAAATGCAACACATATTTTTGCTCCCAGTTTTCATAAGCCAAACTCAAAGATCAAAAACATTTTCTTTATACACAAAATAATAATTTCTCTCAAACATTGTTTGCAAATCTGTCTAAATCTGTTAGGGGGCACTTCTCCTTTACAAAGATAATCCATCCCACCTCACAGGTGTGGCTTATCAATATGCTGATTAGGCAGCATGATTATTGGAGATGATTATTATCGAAGGAGATGTGTTGCACTGCATGAGGCAAATGGTGGTCACATCAGATACTGACGGACCCCCCAATGAAGCAAAACAGCTCATTTCAAAGTGGCCTTTTTTTGTGGTCAGCTTAAGGCACACCTGTACAATAATTATGCTGTCTAATCAGTATCCTAAAATATACTGATAAAAGTTAAATAAAAAATGTTTTCCTCCCCCATCTGTGGTGCACCCTAGATGGACAGCACCTTTATCTTTTGTCTATACTGCCTATGCCATAGGCCCAGGAACAACGAGACTGCACGATGGAGTCAGCGATAAATGTTGGAGTCAGACTAAAACAATTCATTCTGTGGAAGACGGACTCAAAACAACAGTTGAACCTGAATTACTGCTTGTCTTTTTTAAACTTTTGGTTTCTAAATCAAATTCTCATGCTCTCATGCGCAGCGCTGTGTCTTCTGAATAAATGAAAATGATTTAACACAGTTGTTTATACTTTTAGCAGCTCTTTTTATTCCACAGCTGACCTGCTAAAAATGACAGATTTTCACTTATGGATCTCTGACAGACGGACTTCAATCTCTGAACTAGTAAAGTTGTTATTTTTTTAGTTTTCGCTGTCATTTTCATGAATGAACACTTCCTTGTATCTGAGGCAGGAAACATAGCCTTATATGGTGTTTTTGGGGTGGTAATTA